AAATGGAATACTACTCGGCCATAAAAAATGAGAAATTAGATTCATTCATAGGAAAATGGATACATATTGAGGATACACTCCTAAGTGAAATAAATAAGTCACACATGTGTAAATACCAAATAGTTTCTCTGGTGTGAAAAACTATAATAGTACATAAGATCCTAATGATATAATTGACCATGTGAAATAGGAAGAAAATGACTAAAGGTGTCGGGAAAATGGGAAGGGTAGGGGAAAGGTAACAAGGGAAAACAAAAAAATATGACAAAATGAAAAAAGTGTCTGTATGTGGGGAGGGGAGGAGGGGGGTGAAGGGAGGGCATGGACAAGGGGATGAAAATGAGAACCATGACCTGTCATGTAAAGGTACAAGATCCCAATAATGAACATAATTGTACTGTGTACCTTAAATGTACCAATAACTCAATCAATAAAAAAAATTGTATTCTGTGACCACTTATCATTCATCCCAGGGATGCAAAGATGGTTCAACATATGAAAATCAATAAATGAAATATACCACATCAACAGAACCAAAGACAAAAACCACATGATCATCTCAGTAAATGCAGAAAAGAAAATTTGACAGAGTCCAGCACCCATTCATGATAAAAATCAAAATAAAATTGGAATAAAAAGTTGATATCAAAAAAGTTGCTATGTCACTCTGAAAAAGGCCACGTATGAAAAACCAACATCTAATATCATACTAAATAGTCAAAAACTAAAATCTTTCACTCTAAAATCAGGAACAAAACAAGGATGTCCACTATCTCCACTCCTGTTCATTATAGATCTGGAAACATTAGGCAGAGCAATTAGATAAGATGAAGAAAGAAAAGAAAAATGGATAGGAAATGAAGAAGTTATACTATCACTATTTGCTAATGATATGATACTCTACATAGATGGCCCCCCAAAATCTACCAAAAGACTCTTAAAATTAATAACCAAATCCAGTAGCATAGTAGGATATAAAATCAGCACTCAAAAAATCAGTAACATTCCTGCACATGAATAACAAACTCACTGAAAGAGAAATTAGAGAAATGATATCTTTCATAATAGCATCAAGAGAGATGAAATACTTAAGAGTAAGTCTAATGAAGGAAGTGAAAGACCTTTACATGGAAAAATACAGTATTCCGAAAAAAAAGAAAATCAAAGAATCAGAAAATAGAAAGACATCCCCTGTTCTTGGATAAGGAAACCAATACAGTGAAAATGGCCATGCTTCTAAAGCTATTTTTACAGACTGAATACAATCTCAGTCAATATACCAATAGCATACCTCATAGAACTAGAAAAAGCAATCCTAAAATTCATACAGAACCAGAAGATAGAGTAGCAAAAGCAATTCTGAGCAACAAGTGCTAGGCAGAGGGTATCTCAAGTCCTGATTTGAATTTGTACTACAAAGCTACTCTTATAAAAACAGCATGGTACTGGAAAAAAGCCAGATCTGAGGATCAATGGAAATGAGTAATAGATACCTTTGACAAAGGGGCCAAACACCTTCACTGGAAGAAAGACAGCCTCTTTAATCAATGGTGCTGGGAAAACTGGCTTTCCACATGCCAAAAATTGACCCTATGCCCACATCTCTCACCAAGCACTAAACTAAAATAGAAATGGATCAAAGATCTAAATATTAAAACAGAAACAACCTGCTGGAAGATATAATAGGTAAAACTTTTGCAGTCATAGGTTTAGACAAAGATTTTATGAACAAAACCCCAATCGCACAGGAAATATTTCAAAGAATCAACAACTGGAAACACATAAAATTAAAAAGCTTTTGCATAGCTTCAACCACAGAGTGAAGAGACAACCCATAGAATGGGGAAAAAATTACCAGCTATCTCTCAAACAAGGGTCAAATATCTAGAATATATAAAGAACTTTAAAAAATCAGATCCCTCAAATTTAAAAATCCAATCTAAAAGTGGGTATCTGAAATGAATAGAAACTTCTCAGATAAAAAAGCATAAATGGCAAATAAAAATATGAAAAAATATTCAAAATCACTAGTTATTTGATAAATACAAATTAAAACAATACTGAGGTTCCACCTCACTCCAGAAAGAATGGCTATCATCAAGAAACTAAGCAATGACAAAAGCTGGCAAGGCTGTAGGGTAAAAGAAACTGTTCTCCATTTTTTATGGGAATATAAATTGATCCAACCACTATGGAAATCAGTGTAGAGACTCCTTAAAAAAGAAAAACTAGAGGTTCCATTTGATTCAGCTGTGCACCTGTTAGGTATTTTCCTGAAAGAGCCAAACGCCTTATGCCACAGTGACATACAAATGCCCGTGTTTTTAACAGCACAATTTATAATAGCTAAATCTTGTAAGCAGAGCATATGCCACTCGACAGACGAATGGATGAAAAAAACATGGTATTTATATGCAGTGGAGTACTACTCTGCCATAAAGCAGGATACATGAGTCATTTATAGGTAAATCACCTTGAGACTCTAATTTTATATGAAATAAATCAGACACGCAAGTTTAAATATATTATTTCTCTTATGTGATAAAAACAAAAGGGTAAATAAAAAGCAACATGAAGGCTAGATATTGAGAATGAGGAAGAACGTGTTCAAGTCAGAAGGGGAACAAGGGGAGGGGAAAGGGAAAGAAGGCAAAGGGGAACATAAAGAAAGGGAATGGAAGGGGAAAAACAAAGCTTCTGAAAATAGGGAAGAAAAGAAGAGCTGAAAGGAGAGGGGGAATGGGAAAAAACAAAGAAGGCATATTATGTACAGGTACAAATTCCCTATGATGATGCGATCATTGTGATTGGCACATATATAATAATAAAAATAAATATATATATTAAAAATGAAATAGAGTATCTACAAAATACAATAAAGATCATAGGAAGTAGAGAAATAGATCTCTCTCAAAGGGAAAGAGGATCAAGAAATGGAGGGGGGGTAAAAAGGGAAGGGAAAAGGGGTGAAAAAGGAATTAAGATGTGTTATGCACATGAACCAACTCCCCACAAGAAAAGTAAACATTAGTGTACTACAAATATGTACTAATTAAAAATATAAGAATTTCCCCATTCGACGCCACTGGAAAAGTACAGCCGCAAGATGAGAGCCAAGTTAAATGTTGGTCTCTCATATCTGTAGAATTAAATCTTGCTTCTTTTCCAGGTTATCTAATGCTTGAGGGTTTTCTTGCCCATCACTTCCTCTGGTTAACATTTGTTTGCATGCCAGGTTAGTTATATTCCTATTTTTCTCTTATCTGATTATTTAATCTTGCAACACATATTGACTGAATACACAGTAACATACAGGTATTGTTTTAAGGGCTTCTGTACAGTTGTGAGCAAACCAGAAAACAAAACAAAAAATTCCCTGCATTCATTGAGCTTATAGTCCAGGGGATCACACGATTATATTTTACTATTTCAACATGTATATTCTAAAACACTGAGGGTCAGAAATTAATGTTGTTATCACCTCGCTATTAAGAAAGTGCCTGAGCCATACTGCTAAATTAATGCATATTCTTCAATAAGTGAATAAAAAGCCACTATTTTGGAGCATATCAATATCTCATTGAATTGTCCTAACAGGAACATACATGCATACTCTTACATCAATGACATTTTTCTACTATAGTTCAGAGGTCAGTTAACCTGCCAAGTTCACAAAGCTAATAAAAACTAAAGATTCAAAATCTGAATGCATTTATTTAACCTCAAAGCTATGTTGAGTCCTACACAGCCTCGCTTCATCAAAGCAATCGGGCTATAATACGGAAATACTCATTCCAAGGAGGATTTGGTTGAACTGGATTTTCCCAGACCAGGTGAAAGTTCTACATCTTATTTAAACCATTTGGAAATTAATCTCAGAAGTGACCATCTAAGCTAAGAAGGGATAAGATGCCAAGCATGAAATCAGTAACAGGAGAACAAGGAATTGTTGCTCAGCCTTGAAAATTAATCAGACAGAACCTCTCAAACCCTTCAGCAGTACACGTACCAAACTAATATTTTCCTAAAATGGCTACATTCCTCTGATCCTAAGAATAAAAGTGATCATAGATGAAACCAAAAAATAGCTGTGTATTTGCCCCAAATCTAAAAATGTTGTAGTGATCCTATAGGAATGGTATATTTTGAGTATTTACAGTGTTATATTGTTTTCTAATTATCACATTTGTCTAAAGCTCATTCACCCAGACCTCCAAAAAAATACAATGTCCCCATGTGCTTAAAACTGTTTTATGCTTCACAGCATCCTACATAGCACTGAGCTACGCAGACTGGGCTCAGAGTCTAAGGGATGGAAACAGACTTAGGAAATCTGGTCCAGGGCTGACTATCTTTCCTGTCAAATTTGGTTTCCAAGATTTTGTCCTGTTAGTCCCTGCCACTGAGGACAGTACTAGCTTTTGTTATATTTCCAGATCATTCCAAAAGGCACAGCCGAGGTTATTCATCCTATCACATAATAGAGAAAAGTCGATTTTATTTTAAAATTAGCTTTGCTCCATTTAGTGAATCTGTGTTAGAAAATGTGCCTAAATTCACTGAAATGGTAGGCTGAATCTGTGCCTGAGGAGAAAAAAGAGAGGGAGGGAGGGAGGATAGGAAGGAAGGAGGGAGGAAAAGAGCGAGAGAGAGGAGGGCAACTGTGTGCTCACACTTGTGGGTGGCGAAGCATCTTCAGAAAGCTCCTCAGCTGCTCTGGAGGAGCACACAGTCTGTGCCATGGAAACGGTGGTTACCATGGAAAGAAAGTGCTATTGTGACGAGCTGAAGAAACATCTATGCAAAATCATCTTACCATGGAACCTCACACTTTCCAGCATTTGAAGAAATATGACGGGATTAGAGCACAGTCCTCTGGGGAGTCTCAGTCTTCTCCACGATCTTCCAAAACAATCTAGAAATCGAGATGACAGACTGAAGGCAGTGTGTACCTTGCTAAAGGGCTTGACAAGCAGTTAGGTGGAGAAATTGCCCACATCGTTTATCTATGGACTGCACAGCACACTATTAAATATTTTCTTTTAAAACCTACAAAGTATTACAAATGAAGAGAAAACATGGATAAAATTAACTTAAAGCGAACGGTTCCTGACTTACTGAAATCAGAATTGATGGGTTTCATCTAACTTATCTGTTAATAGGCTTTCTTGATGCCCCGTGTTACCATAATCTCCAAAGCACTGGACAAACCAGTACATTTGTTTATCTTTATCACTCTTTGCTTACTAAAGAACTTGCTTTTATTAAAGATATCAATCACCTACACATCGTTTAATAGGCTGTGTGGCGCACCGGAGGTTAAAAAAAAAGCGAAAATAGGGTAAAGGATGAGAGCAGTGTTTTAACAAAGCCCCAAATGCATTAAAGAGGCAATAAAATAAGCTTTCAATAATATAATATTTTATCATTTTATATATATGTACATGTACATATATACACACACATATATTAGCCAACTTGATACTAAAATTAGTTATCTGAAACATTTTGGAACTGGGAAACGGGAGGCTGAACAGCAGTCGTTGTCTCCACTCTACACTCATTGTCTCCACTCTACACTCAATTTTGTCTGCTTTCTTTAATAAACAGTCCAATGATGCTAAGCGGAGAGAAACGGAGTACATTTTGTGTCTCACAAGGAGCTTCTCTAGCTACTTGCATAGGACAGCCGAATGTTTTTGCCTCTCCACCCGGTAATGAAACCAAAAATGCAGCCTGGCTCAATGGGGATGTGGTGTCTGAGGGGCCACTGTCCGAAACCTGCTGCACGAGGCTGCTGACAGGCTGGTTAGAGCTCCCTACCCACATCACAGTGTGGGAGGGACACGCAGTAGCTTTGCTTCTGAAACTGCTCTCCTCTCCACAATCTTTCAGTGCAAGGAACATAATATCATATTTTATCTCGTCTTCTGGGATTAAAAATATTGATTGAAATTTTCATTGGAAGCTTTTCTTAAAAGACACTTTCTTCCAAACCTCTGCTTTCTACTCCATTGCGAGTCAGCTCTTTTTCTTGCCAAAATTCAGGAAAGCAATTAGGCTCAAGGGTTTTATAAGCTGCACCAGTTCAGGGCAAATCTATTGAACTTGCTGAGAAATTCTTGTTCATTCACTGTGAAAATTTTGATGGTTTTATCCTTTCTTTTGATAACCACTTAGTTTTAGAAACCCGTGTAACATATGTACTGCAGGATTTCAAGAGAGGCTGTCCTAATTAAAGTGTTGTGATGTTCAAGGGGAAAGTACTAAACATATTCTTTTAATAACTGCCATTTTCAAGTTCAAATATACACCAGAAAGACTGGAAGCTAGAATATAAAGGGAAGTTAGCATAAGCACTGATAGAAAATATATTAAGCCAATCTACACCTCAGGCTTCTTTGAATACTTCAGGAAAAGAAAGATCCTTCATCTTCTGTCAAATGCCCCTGTTGCAGGTGATCATAGTCATGTTTCACAGAAGACATATGGCCATGTTTACAGCCATCAGGCAGCATTTCACAGAGCTATGACACCATGTGTCCAGCAACTAGCCTTCCTGATTGCGGTTAATTAGGGAGGAGGTGGGAGGCATTTTAAAAATAATAATAAAACAAAGAGATGCTAAAAGTTCCCAGGCCTGTTTACAAGAGTAGATAACAAGAAGTACTGATATTAAAATTATAAAAGCCCAAGAGTATTGGACATTTTGCACAAGTCTTTTCCTAAGTAATGAGGTATAATATGATTACAACCAGAACAACAAAACAAAGAAATTATTTAAACATGAAGAAAGGAGATCAACACAATGACCCCACCCATCAAGGTGTTACCTGGGAAAACTGCAAAGGTAAGAAATAACTTGAACATTCCCTAAGTGCCTTTTAGGGGAAAGATTCTAAATCCAAACGGCCACAACTTCTTTATAGTTAGCAAATCTAAGATGCAGTGCACTCAAGATAAAATTATATGGGGACCACCGAGTATGTTGCACAATTAGTGGCAACAATGCTGTCATTTCTATTTTTTTTTCCTCCCAAAGTAAAATACAAGGAATGTAAGTCCTAGGCTAGATACATAGTATGATTTAGGACTTCAGCTTTTCAACACTCCCTTTTTCAAATTTTCGATGTTTCTTCCTTAAGCCCCTGGAAAAGGCGTGGCAAAAGAACAGTCCCAAGAGAGTAAACTAAGCTCACAGCTAAATGAAATGAAGCATTTAGTAACTCCCTCTTCTTGTGGTTTACAAATCTCCCCTCTGGAGGGTGGCTCTGTGTGTGATTGTGTAGCTGTATGTCCGTGTGTGTATGTGTGTGTGTGTGTGTGTGTGTATACCATTCTATTTATTACAGACTTCTTCCTTCAGGCTGTTCTGAAAATCTGAAAACACATACACTGGTAATTGTGTCATTTTTTTTCTCTATTTCTCTGCTTTGCAGAAGCCAGATGATAATGACATTAGATAGGTCGCATGATAGCAGTTTAATGGCCTGAACTCAATCCACAGGTACATTGTTGTGCTTGCCTTGGGATCTGTCCTCATTGCTGTGACATGACAGAAAATACCACCAGAGTCAGGACAGATGGCACACTGCAGTGATGGAGACAGTGTATCAAGGAGCCCAGGAGATGCAGACCCGCAGCCCCAGGAGCAACTCTGAGGCCACCCTGATCTCCTCAGTGATTCTCACCCTGCTACTAACATGGAACCTTCTGGGGACTGGTGCTGAGCACACAGAAGCGAGCAACATGGACCTGGCCCTCAGGTGGCCCATTGTTTCTTAGGAAAAGACTTACAGGCCATTAAGTACAAACATACACTAAAATGAACGTGGAGGTTAAACTAAGAAATTCACTAAGTGCCTTAGATAAAAAAGTAGAAATTCAAAGCATTATAGTGTTTATCCACTTAGCTAAGTACAATACCTAGAGTCTTGGTATCTGCTTTTATTTCTTAGAGAAGTTTTCAGGATAGCACTTTTGATTTTCAGGAAACTGCTTTATAAAGGTAATATCACAAGTTTGTTAGAATTAGAATGTGTGTTATAGTACATATAAATATATTTTGTTAGATATAAAATATAAACATTATAAAATCCTTTGTAGACTCTAAGCTATCATATAAATACTGAGAGAAGTTTTTGTAGTTGAATTATTACTAATCTTTTTTTCACTGTGGGTAGCTATAAGGCAGAGATAAAGAAATTATGAACCACGGGCAAAATCTGGTCCAAAGAGGCCCCAATAAATCCATTACATATGCTCATGGTTTTAGCACTGTCAATTACTCAACAGGAGAGTCGAGTCATTGACTAGGACTTTATCAATTTACTGTAAAATTTTTTTTTGTTATTTAATTTTCTTTGGAATTAAAAAACACACAATTCTTGGATTAGAGGCTTTGTAACCACATAAGCGGAAACAATACACACCATATTTCCTCTGGGAGATTTTATAATGCAACTTTGCCTATTAAAAAAATTGAGAAATCTTGTATTAAAGAAACCCATGTAGATTTGTTTCTCAAACTTATTTGCAGTTTTTTTTTCTCTACCAACATGTATTAACAAATGCTTCAAAGACAGTGCATTGGTAACACAAGAGAAACTCGCTTCTTCTGCACCTTATGTAATACCAAGAATTATATTCTTTATAGTTCAGGCTTTCTTTTCAAGACAGATAACCAAGGCTTTACTAAGAGACGTCTCCTATTATCCTATCCTGGCTGGCTTTTATGGTTTGGATCTTAAATATCTCCAAAGGCACATTTGCTTTACTTGGTTGTCAGCTTGTGGCACTACTGGGATGTGGAGAAACCTTTAGAAGCTAGGCTTGTAGCAGAAGGAAGTTAGTTAGATTACTGAGAGTATGCCCTTAAAAGGGATAATATCAGTCTCTGTCTCTTCTCCCTCACCCCTTTCTCTGCCCCACTTCCAGTGGCCATGAGGTAATGCTCATGTCCCTGATGTTCTACTTTGTGATAGTAGTTAACAGCCACTTTATGACTGTAAGGTCAGTGAATGAAAGCAAAGCCCTACACGCAGAAAGATGGGGCATAAAGATGGCAAAGTCCTGAGTGCCTAAGTGAATTGCTAAGACACCATACCTATATCAAGCTACCAACTCCTAGATTTTTTTTATTTCATTAAATAAATGCATAACTTTTGTTTATGGCAGTGTCGTAACTGGTTAAGTGCTTCTTTAATTTCAAAAGATATATGAATCACATACAGATTTATTAAAATACAAATTCTGATTCAGTAGTCCTAGGCTCTGGTCCCTACCAGCTCCCAAGAGATGCTGATGCCGGTTGATGAGTCACACATTGAACAACAAGGTAATAGAGTTTCTGTTATTTGCAAAAGAATAATATCATAACCAATATGTCTTCTGGAATTTATCTTCTAGAGAACACACTTAGGGAAATGGTGAGGATTCTCTGTCTTTTTCCCTGTTACAATAAATCATTTAGAAGGTTGTTCGAACTGGGACACCAATCAGAGGACATGGAAGCCCCTCCTATTCATTTCATATACCATAGATTTATGTACCATAGATTTTGCATTGTGGCCCATGAGGTCATATCAAAGGTCATATGTGAACTAGTGACAGAGAAGTGAAATTCCTTGCAGAAGTCTCTGTATTTGCATAGCTACCAACATTAATGATGAGGTTATATCTTAAACATCACATAAGTTCCTTAAAGGCTTACCTAATCTTTCATTTATAGGTAAGAAGAGTTAGGTCAAAGGATCCTTACTTAGTCCCCCAAGTCCCATGGGGAAGTGAGTAGGGGGAGGGCTGAGCGGGATGGAGGAATGTGTGCCCGAATATCCAGGTTTCAACACATGAATCTCTATTATAGATCTCCCTCCTTGCCCATAAAAAATTTTCTAAAGAAAATATGATGCTTTC